TTAACCTTTGCCATTCTCGAAAATCAACATACTTTTTTTTAATGATACTTGTTCGGAAAAGTTATAATTATAAATATTATCAAGTCAGTTATATGTATATATATATATTTATATATGTGTATACATACGAAATTGTGAACGGAATAAAAATGATTTCCTCGAATATTTAATTTAACTGCGTNAAAAAAAAAAACAAAAAAAGGAAAGCGCGTGGTACCAAGAACTCAACGGATTTGAATATTGTATATGCTATACATTCATCTCAGTGAACAAGAATTGAAACATAGTAGCGACACTGAACACCTACCCTGCTATCTCTCACAAGTCTTGACCAATCGATATTTTCCCGTTTCTCAACCACCATACACATAAAACGCTTCCATAAAAATCTTTCACTTTTCGTGTCGCTTAAAAATTTTCAGTACCCTATGAAAGTTTTATTTCAAAAAAGAGAAGGAGAAAGTCTTTGATCGTTTGAACAGATGGTGCAAGATGCATACACAATATATATATTATCGTGTATGCATATTCTTACTTATATATCTAGATATATATGTATGACAATAAAAGATAACTATCTCTTTGCGGTCCTTTCTAATCCTAAACCGAGTATGACGTTTCGTTCGAAAACCAGATCTTCGTTCCTGCCCTACTTTCCTTCCAATCTCTGTCGCATCTGTCCGAAAAATATCTCAAGGAGAGAAGAAGAAAAGAAAAGAAAAGAAAAGAAAAAGAAAAAGAGCAAAGGTAGTTAAAAAGTCTTATTCATCGTTGAGTTATCTTTTATCTTCTTCCTTTTTCTGACCAACCATGCTGTGTATGGCCGATGGGTTTCCTGACCCAAACTTAAAGTTACCCGAGAACATTGACCTACATATTTTAGTCAGAGAAACGTTTCATTAATACTATCAAATATTATTTCAACCAATCAAGTTTACACATTCTACTACATACTCTATCGAGAACGATATTTCAAATATGTTCTATAAGTTATCTCGAGAAAATGATCGATAAAAGATATCATAAATGGTACGGTCTTGTACTTCGCATGAAATAACTTTCACTCGATTTACCTCTAGTATGTGATCAATAGAAGCATAGATTATCTGAGAAGAAAGAAAAACATAGAAGAAGAAATTAGAAAACGACTGTTAGATGAAACAACAGGAAAGTTTAATGTTTACTTACCCTACTACGTTATAGTGATTTATATATATATATATAAATCACTATAACGTAGTAGGGTAAGTAAACATTAAACTTTCCTGTTGTTTCATCTAACAGTCGTTTTCTAATTTCTTCTTCTATGTTTTTCTTTCTTCTCAGATAATCTATGCTTCTATTGATCACATACTAGAGGTAAATCGAGTGAAAGTTATTTCATGCGAAGTACAAGACCGTACCATTTATGATATCTTTTATCGATCATTTTCTCGAGATAACTTATAGAACATATTTGAAATATCGTTCTCGATAGAGTATGTAGTAGAATGTGTAAACTTGATTGGTTGAAATAATATTTGATAGTATTAATGAAACGTTTCTCTGACTAAAATATGTAGGTCAATGTTCTCGGGTAACTTTAAGTTTGGGTCAGGAAACCCATCGGCCATACACAGCATGGTTGGTCAGAAAAAGGAAGAAGATAAAAGATAACTCAACGATGAATAAGACTTTTTAACTACCTTTGCTCTTTTTCTTTTTCTTTTCTTTTCTTTTCTTTTCTTCTTCTCTCCTTGAGATATTTTTCGGACAGATGCGACAGAGATTGGAAGGAAAGTAGGGCAGGAACGAAGATCTGGTTTTCGAACGAAACGTCATACTCGGTTTAGGATTAGAAAGGACCGCAAAGAGATAGTTATCTTTTATTGTCATACATATATATCTAGATATATAAGTAAGAATATGCATACACGATAATATATATATTGTGTATGCATCTTGCACCATCTGTTCAAACGATCAAAGACTTTCTCCTTCTCTTTTTTGAAATAAAACTTTCATAGGGTACTGAAAATTTTTAAGCGACACGAAAAGTGAAAGATTTTTATGGAAGCGTTTTATGTGTATGGTGGTTGAGAAACGGGAAAATATCGATTGGTCAAGACTTGTGAGAGATAGCAGGGTAGGTGTTCAGTGTCGCTACTATGTTTCAATTCTTGTTCACTGAGATGAATGTATAGCATATACAATATTCAAATCCGTTGAGTTCTTGGTACCACGCGCTTTCCTTTTTTTGTTTTTTTTTTTTATCCTTGTTTTCTAAAGAAATCTCAATGATCTCTTCCTTCCTTGAAATTGACCGTGTAGCACATGGCTTAGACTAACTTAGCTTTCACTATTATTTTTTATCAACACAATCCTATAAACATTATGACAACTTTCTTTATTATTATTTTTATTAAAGGATTCTTTTGATAAGAAGTTTAGAAAAAATTGATTTTTTTTCTCCATATATATTGATTATTAATTATATTTTTCAACATCTTAACATTGAAATTTCTATTATTTTAATTTTTACGACATTTTCTTATTAATATTTTGATTGATTGATTTCTTTCTTTATGTTGATCTCATAATAGCGGAAGAGTTTTCTAAAGAAGGTGCATCTTCTTTAACTACTCTCAACTACCTCCTCTCATTCTCCATACCCACGGGCCATAAACAAGTCTCTCTCTACGTTTTATGGTTATTTCAAGATTTCAGGAATGCGATCCAATTTACGATAACGATCCTTGTCCGACACATGGCTGTGCGTACGGATCGTCTACTTGGTTTCTTTCCTCTTTGAACGGAAGAAGAGATGAAAGGAAGGTAAGAGGAAATCTTCAACATTGCGGGATACGTAGAAGAAGAAGAAGACAATTCGCAATATCCAAGCAACGCGACAACGAACACAACAAACACGACGAAGACGAAGACGAGGACGATGAGAATGATTGGAGGTTTGGAAAAATATTGCACGTACGTGCTCTCTCTCCCTCGACTCGTTTCTTCATGTAGCTTTCTATTTCATTTTTTTCTCTCTCTCTCCACTTACGTTCCTCTATTTATGCAGAAAGCGTGGGAAGAAAGTAAAAGTATCTTCATTCATTTTCCGATCATTCCTACAGCACTACAATGACATTACGTACTCGGGTGGTCCCTTCGTAATAACATTTTTTACCTTTTTGATTGAATAATCAAATTTGTTTTATTTCTTTGTTGTTTTGATTTCTTTTTCTTTTTTTTTTCCTTTGTGAAAATAAAAACGTGGAGAGATTATTAAAATAATACAAAATTCAAAGTAGAGCTTACTGTGTGCACTCGAAGTACAAGTTTCCAGTTCCTTCCAACTTGTATTCTCAGGATTCGAGACTCGTTCGCAAGTCTACATGAATCAAAGACGAGGCCGCTGTAAGACTCTTTGGCAAGATATCGAATCTGCGACGTGGGAGCGATAAATAATGGATTCGCAACACTGTAGTAAGGAAGAAAAATAAAATCTAAAGTATTCATGCGTACGGTGAGTGAGTGTAAACGTACTGGCAAACTTTGAGAAATAAGATAAGAAAGAGAAAGAGAAAGAAAGAAAGAAAGAGAGAGAGAGAGAAAGAAAGAAAGAAAGAGAGAGAGAGAGAAAGAAAGAAAGAGAGAGTACTATACATATGTACGTAGGTACTAAGGTAATAAAGCTAAGCCTTTGAGCCAAACGTGAAAGCTGACTTCGTCGTTACTTTGAAACTTAATCTTTGGATTCGTTCGAGAACTCTGTGCTCGTATTTTATAAATCTCGGAGATCGTAAAGTCGAACACAATTCTCTAGTAATTTTCGCGAGTCATTTATTTCGTTTCATTCCATTTCTCCTATTATAATGTAAAACTTCGTTAAAAATACGTAATCGATGTTATGTCTCATGTTAAAAGAATTTTACAATTAACTTAATACAGATTTCATAAGAGAACAATCTTAATTGTATACTTTAGAGAGAAACTTTAATTAAAACGTTAACTTGACTACTATTGCATAAGTCGCTTAGTTAGAGAAAACTATAGATATGTAAGGTATTTATGATTACAATTTAATGATTATTAGTTAACGTAATCTATAGATACATATAAAATATATATATATATAGATATGTGCCGATAATTTTGATAACGAACTAAGACGAAAAATTAAAAACATTTATATTATAAAATAAATCATTAAACAAAATATTTTCACTTACCCCCTTATTATAATTATCAGCATGACATATACGAAACGAATAGAACTTGTATTAAAAATAATAACGAGTTCTTTTAAAATTCCGAAAGAGCATAAGAAACACATGTATTATAAATACATTCATACATACAAATTTAATGTTTAATTATTTTGTCATCCCACACGGAGGGAGGGGAGGGGGTGGGCACGCTTTTAATCTCGACATTTCATGAGATGGAAACGTGCCGGGTATAAGTGTTAATTGATGCAAAAGCTTCCACGGAGTGAATTAATTATAACAATCTCAAGTAAGAAAGCATATATATATATACACATATATGTATATACGTACATAAAATATATACATACATGGGTTTACGTGTACACGAAGGAAGATTTACGATATACGTACGCCCACGCGAACTCGTCCCAACCCCGCGGCGGTCCACCACAATTTGTTACGTCTTCGTAATTAAATCGACGCTCGGCGGATATGTGCTACTTTAATTAATTTAATTAAAACGTTTCCCCGGACAGAGAGCTCGATCGAGAATGGTATTTGCCAAGATCTCGATCGAAATTCCTCGCAGTGAAATTTCATGAATTAACTCGAATTAATATATTTTTCTCCAATAATATTTTATCATTATTTTTATATTTTTCGTTCGTATTATTATGTTTTTTTTTATTTCATATACACAATAGATCAGTACGACGAGCTGGTAAAAATGAAAGATAGGTATTTGTAAAAGATCGATAGGATTGTTGTGATCGGATCGATCAATGATCGAAAATGATAAAAAGTAGTAGTCTCCATTGAAAAATCAATAACGTTTACTGACAAAAGATAAAAGACAAAAAACTTTCTTAATACGATAGTCGAGTTATACATTGTTTCTTTTATTATTTTTTCTTTTTAAGCGATCTCTCGAACGATCGAGAAAATTCGGTCTTGTCAAGATACGCAATAACTATTATACCAATTGTAAAATTAAAACTTAATGAAATAATCAACTGACTACTTTGGAGTTCCGATCGATTTTTAACGGTTCATCTTGTTTAGAACGGCTATTTATTTTATTTTTTGAATAAATCGAGAAAATAAGGAGATAAAATAAATGATAATCCGTGAATGATAACCAATCGATACTCCAAATGTGTCGAAAGACTAGAATGATTAAAAATAAACGCTCGCAACTATAGAAATCTAACCTTCTACTTATTATAATAATAACGAAATCTAAAATAATCATAATGATACGAGGATGGAATAATATTGATACAATAGTTATAAACTGATGGAAAACGTAAGATAAACATTCGTACCTTTTGCTTTTTTTTTTTGATTAAGGGTAATTACGTTAAACAAAATACATATATTTTTTGTATCTATTTATATATATATAATATAACGATACGCTTGTAACTTTAATAATATATACAATTTCGCGACAACGAAATACACAAATGACGAGGAGAAATAAGATATGAATATCGTGAAAGAATCTTTGTAAAAACACGATGCAGTGTTATTGTCGAGTTTGTCTTGTTTATGATAATTAATATTACGTACCTAACAAATAAATTAATATTATAGCACATTTTGAACCCTTAACTAATGGTTCCTGTGATACACAATGCTTCACAATCGAATAACAATAACGATACACTCGTTTAAAAGAAAAAAATATTCTGGACGGATATAAATCTATGATAAAGAGGATTTAATTCTTTCACCTCTTTTGTTCACATTTAAATCTTTTCCTGAGTATAAACGTGATTTGATTTTATCGCAGGATATATAATATATATGAAAGGAAGAAAGAATTAAATGAAGAAAAATCTTGTCTCGTTTACCTCGACGCGCGTAAAATTCGGCATCAAAATGGCAAACTGTGTCTGTTATAATTTAAACTCGGTTATCTTCGATATAATAGAACCTAAAATCATTCAGACCTCTTTAATTCGAGGTAAATATAAGAATATCGAAGTTTAGGAAAGAAAGAAAAGAAAAAAATAGAATAAAAAGTAGGGTGAGTTTATTCGAAATGGCGTCAGTCGGTGCACTCGGAAGCAAAACTCTCGAGATCGACGTAGTGACCGTTCATATTGTCCTCGAGTAGCTGTGCCAGATCTCTCCTGAGAATCTGAAACTCTGGTCTGCGGTTAGGATCAGCGTGCCAACATCGGGATATCACCCTGAAGAGCTCGCTTCGACAGTGGGACGGTCTCTCGAGGCGATAACCGTTTTGCACGTTCCGCATGACTTCCCTTGCCGTCATATCCGGGTACGGCGTTGACCCTAAACAACATCAAATATTTTGTCAGTTACCTATGCTCATCGTGCTAACTTACTCGAGAATTGGTATGAAAATTTATAGGGATATTAAAAGTCTGTAAGATATTTTGACAGGTCATACGCGATTGAAATTTCAAATTTGTTTATCTTATTTATTTTGGAAAACTTACCGAGGGTTACTATTTCCCACATTAAAATGCCGAAGCTCCATACGTCGGTTTTCGTAGTAAAAAGAGAATAAATCAATGATTCTGGTGCCATCCATCTTATCGGCAATGCATTTCTACCGTGTCTAGTTTCGATCACCTCGCCATCTTTATTCGCAAATCTCGACATTCCGAAATCCGCGATCTTGCAGAGTTTGTTATGATCAACTAAGACGTTTCTGGCTGCTAGATCGCGATGAATTATCTGAAAAAGAGAACAAGAAAATGATATTAAAGAAAGAGATATTTTAAACGAACTTATAATGAAGAATAATCTCTATATCATAAGGGTTGTCTCATATAATATTTAAATATTGAATACAAATAGAGACAACTGGTTGAAAAATATGAGCAAGTAAAGTCTCTCGGTAGAATCTTCGGACCTTGTCCAACCTGTAGATGATGCTAATGAACCAAACGACTCAATGCCAAGGCAAACAAGATATATATAGGTATATAGATATACAATCTCTTCGTTTCTTTAATGATTTCATCTCCTAGATTTATTACTTCCCGCCGTTGTTTTCGTGGCTGCTACGAAACACGAGAGGTATGTCAATTTGCGAATTCTTAACATGTTATTTTCGATCGAATACGACAAGGACAATAATATCATTTTTAATTCGCACATGGTAAAGAACAATAATCGATAATACGTCGTAGAGAATACGTGCATCGCTAGCTATCTTACGTCTTTCGAATTTCCCACGTGATCGTATGAACACCCGTTATCATTCTAAACACCAGTTTCAAGACAACTGGTCTCGCTTCGTTGCCAGCTGTTACATTCGTTACCTTATCCTACTAATGAGCAAGTAATTTTGCCTTCGTAATAGCTAAATACGGACAAGGTTTGCTGGCTGTAGATGCGAACGATGCGTACGATGTTGATCCTTCATTTATTTTCTTTTCTTTTTTTTTTTCTTTTCTTCTTCTTTATTATTTTTCTTTATTTTTGTAACCTTTTACAAATATCTATGTCATAAGATCGATTTAAGTCAATTTTCTTCCACAAAGAGATTAAACGAGATTAGATAAAGAATTTCTAAGGAAGAGTATCCGCTTTCCTTGAAATTTATTTAATAAAATGCACATGATAGGAGACATATTCAGATAATGTCCTATTTCATGTAATAACATCGTCTTGAAATCCTTGCTAATCAATGCCAAACACAAGACGTCCTTTAAATCACAATCAAAAGGTCTCGTGCGGCAAGTCACGTGCGATATTAGATACATCCTCTATTCCAAAGCATTTTCGAAGATAGGGGAGATAAGTTTACCTATACCTGAAATTACCTATGCGAACCTAGCACGTTCATTTCTTCTCTCTCTCTTTCTTTCTTTCTTTCTCTCCCTTCTGTTTTCTTTCTTTCTTTCTTTCTTTTTCTCTTTCTCTCTTTCTCTTATTCTCGCAATTATCCATCAAGTCGAGAAGATTAGTTTTCGCATTGCGCTTCTGGGAAATCATTATACAGACGGAAACACGCAATTCGTTCTTTCGAAGAAGCCGATCGATGATCTATTCTTATCTTATATTTTTTGTTGTTTTTCTGACGAGACAAAAAATTGACTGGTCTCCTCCATTTTTCATTTTTTTTCCCAAATTTTAAAACATGATAAATACCACGAGAATTACCGCTGATCAGAACTACAAATTTACAAGACATTTTTAAATACGTTTTTCTAATATTTTCTTTCATGACGTTTCCAAAACTAATATTTCATTATCTAACATAAAGTGTATAATATCTAACGTAACGAATTCTTTCGTATACTTTATATCTACACATAAAATTAAACACAAGTTTCTTAAAAATAAATATTAATATCGATTTATGCGATTATACCATTATATCGGTATTTTTTCCTGGTATTTTCTATTTTTCATTTTTTTTCTTTTTCAAAATTTGTAGGACGTTTTTTTAAAAACGCTTCTTAATTTTGTCCTCGATGACACTTTCAAAGACTAATATTTTATTATCTAGCATAAATGTAATATCCAACGTAAAGAGTATGTGATCAAGAATTCTCTTGTATACTTTTCATCTACATAAAAAAAAGAAATTATGAAATTTATGAAAAATTAAATGTTCGAATGTAGTATTACTATTAAATCGGCGGTTTTAATTTGTTTAAGAAGTAAACTCGACCTTTTCCTAAAAATCCTCGTGTCAATAAAACTACACGAAGCGAGAAGACATCGGAGAACGTCTTTAATCGACCTTGGTGTCCGAGTTTCGAGCGTTAGTAGAATTACGATCTTGCTACGTTACAAAAAAAGACTTTGGAATATCCGTGAATTCTAACATAACGGAACGGACGTGTAAGTATGTATGTATGTAAATACGTCGACCGAGTTTGATGTCGTCTTTTAAAAAGTCACAACGTCCATTTGTTGTGTTTCTAAAGAATCAAGATATTTTCATGTATTTTAGACAAACAAAAAAAGTGTTTCTTTTAAAACGGAAGATGAGATAACGCGCGATTATCTTTGAATAAGAATGACGTAAGTAGGTTTTAAACATTTCTTTATAGAAAAATAAGATATTTGTTATATAAGAAAAATACTTAAATTACATATTAGAATCCATTAGTTGGCCACAATGCTCTTCTACCAATTGTCTAAAAGTAGATAAATCTCTCTTAAACGAGTTGAAAATAAAATAAAGTAGAAATAAAATATGGTGGGATTGGAAAGATGGGACGACATTGATAAAAGGAGTGAACGCTATAGAACGATTAATTGGTGCTGACTTTGTTTGATGAGATTAACGAGCCGTTGCGATATCTAAACATTTTAAGTCGTATCGATTCGTCGTCGAGGTGCTGCCGTACCGAAATTTATCACGAATTTTGTCCTTTTTTCTCGAAGCACGCGCCTACTACGAGAAAAGGAAAGAGATAAAGATGGACAGAAAGAGAAAATAATAATAATAAGAAGAGGGTTGAAAGTGACCCGTTCGTTTTGTCTTTGGTTCTACTCGGCTCGCGCAAAGTTACTTTTTCTTACCGCGACAAACCTGTCCTGAGGACTGACAATGAATTATACTGACCCACTGACTGGCACGAAACGTGATTCGACTCTCCTTCGATGTCGTGGATCCGTAAACAAGCCGATATCACGTGAGTCTCGCTCGTTACCGTTGCTTCTCTCCATCTTTTTCTCTCGAAAAGCAATGAGACTGTACCACTAATTCTTTCTTTCTATTTCTTCTTGCTCCTTTTTTCTTTTTCTTTTTTTTTTTTCTTTATTCAGTCGTTTGTTCGGATAAGGAGACTGATAAAGTAAGTTTACCTTTTTTGACGCGAGATATTCCATGCCTCGTGCAACGCAGTATCCGAATACCGTCAGATCTCTCGATGTCAGGGCCGCCGAGTCCTCACTGAAATTGTAAAAGTCCTGCCTGGTGCGGTGATCGCGTAGATAAGCCAACAGCTTTCCATACATTACGTATTCTAGTATCAAGTAATGGGGCTCTGTAAAAAGAAAACAATTAAACGACTTTACCTTTTTTTCTATTATTTTTTTTAGATATAAATTAAGTTCAAAAAAATGGATACACACTTTGTTCACACTCGTTATGACATCAACAAGTGACGTCTATGATAATAGCAAAATGGCGGTTCAATTATCAATTGAGCGCAATGTAAAATCATTCTAAATTGGTATTTTTAATTTGAAAATAGAACGATGAGTGTTTGAACAGAATCTCACGATCAATACGCTTGACAATTTCACGAATTTGTCAAGTTCGTAAGTAACAATTTCGAAATACGAATAAATCCGATACGATAATATTTATATTACAAATTTGTATAAATTTTCTTCTATTAAAGCGCGTGTAAATTTGTTTTTTCTTTTTTTCTGCGAACTTTGTATACGTAAACGCTTGTATCCCTCGATTCTAATTGTGTAAGACAAATATTTCACATAGAAGAATCGAACGGAATAAATCATGCCGAACGGGAAATATATCGATAGTGTAATTCGATCTCGTCACGAGATCCGATCGTTACCCATAACAAATTAATGTATCTATCTCACGACGGTGATTCTTCTAAACGACATTTTTCCTCTTACTCGTTTTTTCTATTTGAAATAAGTATATGTTGAGATTAGGACATGTAGGGTATGGATTATGAACGAAGTATAGATCCCAGTTAAAGTAATTTAAAGTGTGCATTTTTGGGACCCCGTGGGCAGTATCCGGCTGATTGTAACTTATGGGGCCAGTTTGGTCGTGCAGTTTTGCCGGTCGTTTCGTGTTGGCGCTTCGTCGTCGTAACTCTCACATTAGGACAACATTACTCCCCTTTAATAACTTCGGTTTGTTAACGAACCCTCCATCTACCTTTATACTCTACGTAAGCAAATTCTTTTTGCAAGTATCATAATATTTGAGACAACGCGGCAACGTCGATTTTCATGCCGTTTATATTTTATGTATGTTATATGTAAGTATGTATTTATGCCACCTTGATATACGAGCTGTGTTATCGCTGACGCACACATTCTTTTATTTTTATTTATATTTCCCATTTATGTTTTCTTATACAATTAATCAAATAGGTGCAATTTTATGATTTGTAAAGTATAATTGTTGAAATTTTAACATTACTCTCTTACCGTTATCAAATATTTTTTTTAATGATACAAATATTATTTGCCAATGTTGCGCAATTAAAAAAATTACCACTATGATTCATAAAAGGATGTTTTTAATACATTATTATATGAACGTCATTTTATGGAGACATAACCCTGATGTTTCCACGTACGCGAGTTATTATCGCAAATTATACGCATCGTTCTTAAATTCTACTTCCTTTGTGTATTTATAAAAAAAATAAAAAAAACAAAAAAGAAAAGAAATTAGTTGACGGATGATGAACAAAGCGTATAGGCATCGTATTTTAATCGAATGATCGTGTTTGCGCGCACGTGCACGCATCGATACGGCACGTAATCGGAACAATAGCCAAGACAAATGGAAAATAATAAACGTTCGTCGCTAAAGCTTACCGCGGTATTCGATTAACGAAATTCGATAAGGCTATAATATACGTTAGATTTGATTCCTTGTAATAGCAATTTTCAATTTTCATTATCGCGAAATATATGCATACATTTATACGCTGTTTATCGTCACAGCTGTTTAACACGTAATAAAATAAACAGCTTCCGTGAAAATATAAGAAAAATAAAATGTTATTATTTTCGAGCTATCTCGAGTTCTCCAAACATTTCGCACATGTGTATGTATTTATGGAAGAAAAGAAAAAAAACACTAATAAATTTGTCAACATTAAACCTAGTAAGTGAGGCCAAACGACCGAGTTCTGTAATTCGTAAAAATCCTGTAATTTTATAAAAACATTATTTTATTTCTAAATAAAAAAAAAAAATATTGTCTCCACTATCCAATTGGTTAAAATCTCATTCTATATTAGTATATATGGTTTCTTTTTTTGTTGTAAGCGATTACTCACGGTAAGAATAAGTATACATGAAACGTCGATAAGTTCATCTTTATTCGGATGGCATAAACAAATTTTCAAATGAGAATTTACGAAAGAAAAATAATCGATCGTGTTCTTAATTGAAATATCATCGGAGTATAGAAGTGATCGATAAATGGATATAATGGAAGCGTTGGGTTGTGTCTTATTGTCGAAGAGATACGTCGAGTTCAAAAGAAAGGGAATACGTAGCCACCTTCTTTCAAGCTACTCCTCCTGGTCCTCTTGCTTTATCCTCTCTGGCGTCGAGACCGAAAGGATAAATGCGGAGGACACGAAACCACAAAGTCGTAAATTTTCAGCGACGGACCCTCCTCGCATTCTATTGTACGCCGAAAAGGGCCCACGCTCCCTTGAGCTTCAACCAAAAACTCTACTAAAAGCTAAAGGCCCGAAATAGGGAGTAAGCGATTATTTTAATTGCGTTAAAACATTCTAAGGATGGTATCAAAGGTAATCTCGATTTTCGAAGGAACGTGCGAACGTTAAGGAGGAACAAAAAAAAAAACAAATAAGACGTAATTAAATATTTATTTACTTTTTCTTTTTTTTCGTATTTTGGAAAAAAAAAAAATATAAGAATCTGATCGAAAAAGAATCTCGATAGAGAGAAAAAGATTTGGTTTAAGTACACGTATGTGGAAATTTATATACACCATGAGGAAAACGATATTAAAGATAGAAAGAAAAAAAGAGTATAGAAGGAAAATTTCGTATATAATGTCATCAAGCTTTTATTTATCTATTTTCTCATCGAGATTGTTTTTACTCGTCCTTAGTTTTGATGTCTCAACAGTAAAATAAAATCCTCAGGGATCACGCGATCGATTGACTACTCTCAAGAATAGATAAAAGCGGAGATAGAGAAAGATTGAGGAAGAAAGAGATTCTGCGATATCTCAAGATAAAGTGACACGATAAATTCATCTTTCGAACAAGGAGTAATGATTTCCTCTATTTTTCTCATTACCTTTTTTCAATACGATATACCTTAGCGATTAAATTTTCAAGGATAACAAAATTAAAAACTAGTTTTCATATTATCTTCTCATGAGTATTCCATGATGATGAAATTGACGAAGTTATTTTTTCTTTGAAAAATAAATTTCAGAGTCCTCGGTAAAAGCTATTTTTTTTTTCTTACTATAGTAATTTGATAAATGCAATCATACGTTGTTATTTTTTTTTCTTCTTCTTCTTTTTTATTTTCTTTTAATCGCACACATACTTCTCTGATCTCTTAAATAATTAATTATTCTAGAAATAATAAAGGACGACGAGAGATCGAGTGTAAATCATTGTGATACTATTGATAGAATAACGTGGTAAGAAAAAATTCTGTTGTCTGTATGTCAATCGAAAGAATGTGTATCTCTTTATCGACGATATAATCACCGTGTAATGGAAATGACGAGGATTCTTTTCTTTTCGAAGGATTCTCGTATCCTTTGACATACATGAGATGATAGCGTACGTTTATATTAAAAATGTATTAGGGTCGTTCAGATAAAAACATCGAACGGAATAGGAAAAAAAAAAGCTATATTCAATGAATTCGATTTAGGGTAAAAAGAAAATAAGTGATTTGAAAAAGATAAAAATATGAGCCTGACGTTTTGTTTGTCGAAGAAGATTTACGGTGTTGCATCACGGTCTATGTATCTAATAATAAATAATAATATATGTATGAATCTAACATTCCGTATGGGTACTAATCGATTATAAATTAATGATACTGAACATCGACGATTCGTCTTCCTTTCATTTACAAAATAATAGAATGCGACGTAAATGATCGGCGCTTATTGTGTATGCTGGAAAGAAGAAAAATAACAAAATGGATGATTTATCAACACGTTGAAAATTTGTCTCTATCAAGATCTAACTTCGAAACGGATTATTACTTTTATATTATGTGTTTTCCATTCGTCAAACTCTAATTTGCTTTTAATTCGATACTTTTTGTTACTTGTTTTTTTTTTTCTTTTTAATCGACGTTTCGCGATTGTGAAAAATTTTCTCTACCAATAAATTGTACAAATTTATAAACGATAAATTAACACCGGTGAATGAATATAATATAATAAGAATGTAGGATGACCACCAAATTGCTTGATCAGCATATTTTGCAAATAAAAACATCTACGTCAATGAAAGAGAAAAAAATATAGTAGCCACGGTGATAGTGTTATTAGTAGTTTTTATAAACTTTTTGTTATCAAGATCTACGAAAGAGGAAACAAATATCATTATCGAAGATGCGCCATTCCTAAGTTTTCTTGTTTTCTTGTTTTCTTTTTGTAGACTCTGAGATAAACTATAGGAAAGGAATTCTTTTACGATTTAACATCAAACACACATTTTACGATGTTTTCGTCATCAATGAAAACATAATGAATAGATGCAGCTTTAAATAGATTTATGTTAAAAATGTATTAGAATCGTCGAGATACAAACATCGAACGGAACAGAAAAAAAAAAATTAAATTATAATGAATTAAATTGTTATATGATTCAATAATGTTAAATATATAATTAAATATTATATATAAGAATTTTGGAACGTTGACAGTAATTAAAATAAAAAAAAAAACTCACCCTCTTCGGTGCAACAACCTAAAAGTGTTACAACGTTCGGATGACTACCAAGTTGTTGCATGATTTCTAGTTCTCGAACAAGATCTTCTTTTTCTCGTTCTGAAGCACCTTCTTTTACAGTTTTCACAGCCACCAATCTCGTTGTACCCTGATGACCAGTCAAATCATCGGCTTCGGCTTTCCAAACCTAACAAATTATAACAAATATAACGTTTAAAAAGATTCTAGTTATTGGTAAAAAGAAAATAACGATTATAATTCATGACATTTTGACATCTTTCGACTATTCGTTATTTCATCAACATAATGAATTCAAGAATTCGTGTATTCATTCACAATGAATTCCGTGTATATAATCATGAGATTTCTATATTCCCGTTAAAATGTACCTTTTTACGCGAGCTTTTTACGCACGACAAAAAACGCATCCCACGTATATGCACGATTCTCTGGCGATTTATTATCCCGCTTTCCGGCTGAGCAGAAAAGAAAACATAATGCCTTACCTGTCCAAAGTTTCCTTGCCCGAGGACCGTCTGTAACCTAAGCTTATCTCTAGGAAACTCCCATCTGGATTCTTGCGAGAAAGGTGGTGGTGGTTTCTCTGCTTCGTGACACTGAATGGATGAATAAAATGAAAAATAAATAAATCAAAAGAAAAAAACAAATAAATTGAAAAAAGAAACGGGGCAACGAAATAAGAAGGATTAAATTGTAGAAGGAATAATTATTAGTCCTCTCACATTTGAATTTGAATTCTTACCAAATGTTGTATCCTCGGTAGTTTTGTAATCGCTTTTTCTATGGACGTTTTAAAATCACCATTTTCAAGATTAAGAGCATCCTTTCTGTAACTTATCTCGGATGACGTGTCCGATTCTTCGAGCACCTGCATAAGTATATTATCAATGTTAATTTTAAAAGAAAAAAATATTCGATAGCGTCGCACGCGGTAACGGCCACGGCGACGAACAGTCACAAAGAACTCGCAAATATTATTATTACGAGAAAAGACAGAGAGTTTGACGTAAATTCAAAGCGGTAAATAAATCGACTAATAAAGAATAATAATAATAATAATAATAATAATATATATAATGAGAGGAACGTCTGTTGTTGTGATTTGAAAAAAGAAATGAATTTTTCTTTATTTTTAGTCGAAATGATCTAATAGAACGTCACATTTTTACGTTTATTTTATTTTTTCTACGCGACTTCGTAAGGCGTACGAATACCACGACCATAATCATGAGTCGAGAGCTCTTCGATCGTTCATGGATGATTCATCGAGAATTGAGACAACGCGATGACCGATTTTTTGTTGTCACTGTATTATTCTACATTTTCATTCTTAATCGCGTTTTCAAGTAATTAATAACGTTTAAAACTTAAAAATGGAAATGAGAGAAGCTTTTTCAACATGATAAATATTATTGTAGTATGATAATTGTATACCATTCGAGTACGATGACTCGGCGAAAAGAGAATCCAAAGAACTCGGACTACTTTCGCTCGCGCGGAGCAGTTTACTTTCAAATCTACGACATCTTTCCTCTTTCCGTCTTTCTCTTTCTCTTTTATCCTCTATTTTTTTCTCTGTTTCTCTGGGTCAAGCCTACGCTAACCCAAATACCAAAAAGATGTTGCTAAAACGAAGCCAGTTTACTTCCCAGATTTAAAACTCACCTTACGATTCCTAATGATCAGTCTTCTTAAAATGAGTCCAACGCCAACGGCAATTGGAAATACGACGAGAGTAGCCAAAATATAGCTGACTACAGCTACTGTTTCTTGAGACGCGATAGCATCACCATCGTGTCTCTTGGTCACTTCACTGATATTCACTGATTCTCGTGGGCTAACAGCGATCGAACCACTATCAAAGAACGTCCTATTAAATTCGATAGGTTGATACCCTAAGTCAGAATAATCCGATATAATGGAGCGATTAGGATAACTCGATTTATATCTTGTCCTGTTAATGAAAGTGGAAGATGTGCTTGTAGGTTTGGGAGCGGTTCTAGGAGTAGTTTTAGGGATGGATTTAGGAGTGGGTTTAACGGTAGGTTTGCTGCTAGCAGAAGGAGTGGTATATCGAGAAGCTGGAGACTCTTGCACGTCTTTAGTCGTATTGCTTTCCTCTAAGGGAAGTTCGACCGTACGAGTAGCAGGACCGAGGGTGCTGCTATCGTTGAAAATGTCTGAAGTGTTGTAGAGTTGCATTATAGGGAGCACATCGTCTTCCTGTTTTGTTTTGTCAGAAAGACTGCGCCCTCTGTTTTCATGCATTTCGTGTATATGTTTTTGTCCAATTTGAATAGGTAATTGACTCGTCGTCGTCGAAATGGTAGAAGTTTCCAAATTCGGAAGAGTATTACTCTCCGTACTCGAAGTGTTTTGCGATCTATACATTTTTTGAATTTCTGATGGATCAAGATCGGCTGCTAAACCGAAAGGTCTGTCTTGATCTGGTTTCCTACTAGGATTTAATCGATTAAGAGATTCCGTCGAAGTAGAGGTGGGAGTCTCTTTGGTGGTCATACGATTATTACTCGATGTTGTTTCGGCAAGTAACTTGGATGTAACCGGAGAGACGGGTGCACTAGTTGTGACTTCCGTCATTATTGTTGTCGTAGTTGAATTCTCGTAGTTACTCTCCTTCGGAACTTCGTCTTTGGTATCGGACTCGGAGAGGTTCTCGATCAATGTAAGAAGATCGACGATAGTTGTTTCTTCCGGTACGTTCAAAGCTAACAAACTTTCATTCGTTGTAAGTATATTCCCGAATGTTTGATTGGGCTTCAAGGAGGTTTCATTTTCAGGACGAGATTCATCCTCTGGACGCTCCAGATGAAGGTAATTTTTTCTGTCAGCGTCGAGGAGAAGGGAATCTCGCGTGCCCGTGGAAGGCATTGCTTCCGGGCTCGTGTCAATTGGGTTCACCACACCGGTGCGTAAAACAGCGCTAGCTGATTTTCGTATAAAACTTCGATGATGATGATCCGCGGTAGTAGGTGGTTCGTCGATAACGAGGGCTACTCGATCAGACAAATGTTGCTGATAGTGTTGTCTATTTCGAGTAAGAGCGCTCACGATTCTCACGGGTGCGCGTTGCGGCGCTGACTGAACGCCGGCTCGGTGCCCACCGCTCGCAACAACTTTTCTTCGTCGTTCCCCCACCAATGAGGGAGTACCGATCGTCCTCGGTCTTCCAACCGCTTCGACGCTCCTGCCAGTACTGAGTCCACTGGATTGTGAGGGTTCGTCGCTGACGCCAGCAGAAGCCTCCGCCGTCGACGGTGACTCTACCCTGGTGTTCGTTATCTCGCTAGAAGCATTATTCCTCCGAGAGCTTCCTACTTCGTCAGCTCTTCCTCTTCCTCTTACTTCATTCTCTCCACTTTGCCCAGGTCCGGTGTAGTTGCGCAACAGTCTTGTCACGTTGGTTATCGTATACGCGTACACGTGTTGCGGTTGATGCCGCCGGGTTTCTTGCGTTCTGCTCCTCGACGTCGTCGTCGTCGTCGTCGTCGTCGGCTCTGGTTCTATCACGACGATTCTTAAAGTCGTTGAACGGGTCGTACTCTCGTCGATACTGTTATTCTCACGAGACTTCTTATCATCCTTCGAACGGTACTCGGAACCATCATTAATTTCTCCTTTTTCTTCGATATCTTCTACCTTCTTACTTCTCCGAAAACTCCCTCTTGACACTTTTGTCTTCTGAACACTATCTTTATCCCTGCTCCGCTCCTCCACTTGCTCTTCCAACTTTGTCATGTTATTATTTTGTGTCATGTCCTTGCTAGGGATCACGTTCGTAGCGATCGTGGAATCCGACAATCTTGCTTTCCTGTAATACGAATTCGGCAAATCTCGTAACGTGCTTTTAGTCGTCTTAGATACTTTGTTCTTTTCGATTATGCGTCTTTCCAAAGCAACATTGGTTTCTTCAGGTGGAGATGTTGTCGTTGTCGTTGTCGTTGTCGTTGTCGTCGGTGTCGTTGTCGTTGTAGAAGAAGACAAGCTTGTTCTCTTGGTAGGGTTTCTCCTTCTTAAGGTTGGAGTGACTGAGACAAGCTCGTTCGAATCGTTAACAATTGTTGTTACGTTCTGCAGCTCTGGTTGTAGTTTCTGACCAAAATACAAAAACTGCGACATGTCCTCCATCGGAATGTTACTTTCAACTGGTCTAAAGTGCTTGTAAAGGGACTCCGGCATGGAGACTGTATTTTTTCTACGGACATTATCAGCTTCCAAAGACTTGAAAGGAATGCTCGTTACTGGCGCCATTGTCATTGTGGACTCGGTGTTCTCGTTGCGTTCACTCATCAACGTCGTTAGGTTCTCTTCCATCGTTGCTCCCAACGTTTCCTTGTCAACGTCGGTCCCGTTCTTCGGTAGAGAAACACTGGCATAGACTTCGTGTTTCGTCTCCTGTGCCTCCAGGATGTCTGGTGGATACTTTAGAGTGACATCGATGAGACGGCTGTTACGTTGCTTCGACATTCGTCGTCTTCGTGCTGCAAGAATGTTTCGTAGGACCTGTTCCCTCTTAGCTTTCGAGGAGAGTACTTCAACCGAGTATATCTCCGTACTCGAGGACACCAGACCTTGAACTTTGTCTTCCTCCTCAGTTGTTTCTGCGAACAAATAAATGAAAATTAATATACAACCGGCTTGCGCGTACAAGCCAACTGTTAGTCGAGTGCAGTGCGAACGTTTATCATCCGCGAAACCGTTCCTTTCATTTTCCTGTCGTCGCGTGTCTTGAATAATGCAGTCCACCCCGTTATCTCTATCCTAATCAAGAATTATCATCTGACCTTGAAGTTGCACAGACGCACAGAATCGAAATTCTAAGAGTACTGCTACGCTCGGAGGAGAGATCGTTTCTTTCTTTATTTCCAGATATGAAACGAGTAGCTCAAGGAAGAAAAAATAAAAGGGGGGGAAAAAAAATACAAGAGAAAGAAAGAAAGAGAAACAGAAAAAGGGAATATAGCTATGAATGCCGTCGTGTATGTTGGTTGGCGTTGGAAGGAGGCTACGAAGTCGTGGGTTATCGCCGCGAACGTGACCGCATAAAGGATCGTAATATTTTATGAGAACACGTGTATGAGGAAGGTCAGTATTGCTCCTGTTCTTGTTTTGCGAGTACGCGAGCGTGCTACGTTAGCTCGACGATTCAACGAGTCGGCCTACTAAACTATAATATGAACGCGTTATATGCTCCAAGCTACACGTTTCTTCTTATTTTTCTAATTAATTAATGGTAAGTCTTTATCCCTATCGATGGGGAAATTACACAACGCTGATATCGTAATATTTTTTTAAACGTAACGTCAAATTTATCAGATACTAATACACAGGTATTACACGCGATATGATACACATCGAAGGACAAAATTATGAGTTCAGATCTTTACCAGAAGAGATAATCTCTTGCTTGTTATCGAAGTTTATTATCTCGAAGTTTATACCGAGAACCTTGGCCTTAGCTATCCTCTCGGTATCTTAAAACGATCTACTACGATGGTTCAATATTATCGTCCATTTAAAGAAGCACCATGAAACGATTTTATATTATACAACGACTGAAATGCTAAACAAAAGGATTCTTTGCACTTATATAATAATTACTGATTGATGTTTCCCGTTTCGTCGATTTAACAATGTTAACAAGCTGTATTTAATCGATTCCAACGAAAAGATCTTTGTTACATAGATTGTGAAAATGATGATTTAAGAACGACAATGATGTTAAGTAAGATCAAGAACATCGACGATTACGATAGTTTAGTATTATCAAATGATCGTGAAGTACCACTTCGAATATCAACGATTAATCATTAAATATTTACATAAAAATTTGCCCTATCATCGTTTCTTCTTCAAACCAATGCCGTTGGCTATAATACACGCGACGAGATCTCTAGTTTGTTCAGTATTTCTTCCTCTTATTATAGCCAGAAGTGTATTTTGTACTTTTATCTTTCTATCCCTTTATTTCTTTTTCTCTGTTTCTTTTTATTTCTCTCTTCCCTCTTCTCTCTCTCTCTCTCTCTCTCTCTCTCTCTCTCTCTCTCTCTCTCTCTTTCTCCAGTACATTCAGAAACGGTTCGTTTCACTCTTGTGGCCGTCTTTCGCGAAGCGTGGATCCGCTTCCGTTCGTGGATCCTGGCTCGCAACTACAGAGGACATTACGTTCAAACTCTACGAGTTTCACGATCAATGACAAACACCTTCAATGGTTTTGTTTCTTTTTTTCAAAACTATTTTCTCTCACGTAACATTGCAATTATTTTTTTATAAACAAATTAACGAGAAACAGAGAGAGAGAGATTTGCTTTGAATAATTATTTTTCATTTATATATTACGTTGAGAGTACAGTAAAATAATTAACAGAAATGTATAAAAACGAATATCACTTTTTGTATTATTAATTTTTTTTTATTACTTTAATAAGAACTCTCTTTTGTACGTATGTACGATATTTGATAAAAAAATAATTGTTATTAAGTGCAAATGTCAAGTGACATAATAATATATATAAGTAAAACGATATAAGTGAAGTATACAAGACAAAGTTCAAGAATTTTATCGACATGTAGAAAATTCGAAAGAATTTTATCAACGTGTCGTATTATTCAAACACGTAAAATACTTGAAATTCTTATGAAACTAAAGATTGTGAATTATGTTAGTCGAACATAAATAAGCGATCATAATTCGATAGGATAATCGATAAATGGGAACAGTTTAAGTTCGATCCATCAGAAGATCGTATCTTCGTTAGTCACGATCGCGATCGTTCTAGAAGCTTCCTTCTTTTAAACAACTACCTCTTGACGATCCTTTGAAAACACCGACGAGCAATTAATGACGTAAATCGGGATGATCCTTCGAAGGCCAACGACCGAGGAGGATTAACGATCCATGCCGATTTATCGATTGATTTGAAAAGAAAGCTGAAAAAAGTATTACACGTTGGTTCTTTTTATGATTTTTGTTTCTTTTTTTGTTTTTTTTTTTAGAAGAATCAAGGGTCACGGTCTCTTCTTCTCTTTAAACTCTTTCCCTCTTCCCATTTGACTCCTTTCTTCCTTTTCGTTTGATAATTCATTTTGTGAACGGAACTACGGAAGGAAGATGGCGCGAATGCACGCGATTAATCCTGGTAGCGATGGCAACTTACGCGCGTGATTACGTGTCAAAGATCGCATCGCACAACGTTCAACGTGTTGCATAATGGCCACGCGATCCTCCTCTTTGGTAAAACGACACGTACGTAAAAAGCAAGTCTCCAGACACGAACAATAATGATAAATGTTATCTAAACGACACGTAAGACAGTTCTGTTGCTAACCTACGATCAATTGTCGCTAACGTAAAAACGTTTCATTTAAATAACTCACGTAATACACTAATTGACTGACATCAAAATAAAAATGATAACTTTTAATGTAAATGGACAATACGATCCTTTCGCATGTAGACATTTCATTTTTTATAATATAGTAATACGTTTCGATTGTATAATTATAATAAAAAAAAAAGAAACTGAAAATTGGTTTTGTCAAAGTTAAGAGAAAGATTATATGGCAAAGATAATGGTATCATCTTGCACAACAGTTATATAACAATTCCAGGAACATTACAATGGATTCTCGATGTTGCATTAAATGGTATGCAGGTTCTGGTAGAACAATAGAACGCAAAGAATCGAATGGGTGTTCGCGAAAAATCATCAAATACTTTTCGGAATGACTTCCTGATTGATGGAAATGATTGATACGAGAATATAAAGGAATTTCGACGTATCAACTTACGTGTCAAGAAAAAAAGATATGAAAATAGTTAACCAGGTATTATAAGAGTTTACCTTTGAAGTTCAAAGTTCTTAGCTTCGTTACCTCGACGAAGAACGCACGTTCTTACGATCACGATCAAGATCATTGACTTCTCACGAATGTAAAGCGATCCCTCGAAAGCCTCCGTACTGCTGCTAGGATCTTTCGTCCGGATATCACGTAGACTCGGAGAAAGGACAGGATTATCATAGTCGTGCATCTGCAGGACGTCACGTTCTGCCACGTCGAAGTCTCTTTTGTGACAAAATATTTTCTTTGTTTTTCATGCATCATACATATTTACCTACTCAGATTTCGATCGAGACCATCGTATTATTAATTTACACAGAAAGAAAAAAGTGAGAGAGAGAGAGAGAGAGAGAAAGAGAGAAGAGAGTATTGTACGAATCCTGAATTTAAATGGAATTCAAGGACGAACATATAGGTTTTTTACATTTTCATCGACATTGTTCAAAAATTATCATTTCTAGCACGCGCGCACGCACGCGATGTCTTCGATTTGACCGAATTACTCAGTTTGATCTTGATAAGTAGCAAGCATGAAATTGTTCCGCTCTACTACGAGCATGAAAGTTCATCGACTGCTTTTATGAACCTATTACGATTCACCTATCATCAAAATTATCATCGATATTACGACAGTTTTTCTTTATACTTTGTTTTTTTTTTTTTTTTCTATCGTAGAGAGAACTATGAAAGATATTAATATTTTTCTTTTTTGTTGAAATTTGGAGTTTTAAATAACTCGTTAATAAAATTGATGTATCCCGAACCCGTTATTTAGAAACAGACTGTTATTCTCCATTGATTATTCGTGAAATCGTTCGAGTCTACCGGTCGGCACGGCTAATTATATTCGATTATAGGTATAACCAGTGAAGCTCGTACCGGTTCGAGCGCGCCAGCATCGAGATAGTACTCGATATCGACCGAGAGAAAGGAAAGGATGACTTTCCGGCGTGCCTGCCCGTTGGATTACGTTCAAACGCACGTTCAAGGCTATCCTCAAGATCACGGTCACGTCGCCGATACCCTGGACGATCGCCATCAGTCATCGTACGATTCTCAACAACACCTATCTACTACCTATCTATTTACTACGAATATAATACCACCATGTTTATATAATATATATATAAATGTATTTACGTGTTTATGTATGTGCATCATACTTATATCTTAGATATCATTTATATGACTCATTATACTTTCCTTTGAACTAACGATTTTTTGCTCGTTGCTATCTATGCTGAACTATTGTAGTTTTTTGTTGGTTTGTAGAATACTTCTGATAAATGAGCGTCTAATCAGCTAAACCGTTTTTAACTGTGTAAAATATAAATTATTATATCGTTTATTACTCAACAAACATAATTAAAAAGTTTTGTTTTTATTTTAATTGAATTTAAGTTAATTATTATAAGAAAATTTATTTTAAATATATATTGTGTTAGTCATCAATCACACAAGTGCTTTGACATTGAAATTTTAAATAATTCTAAAAGCGGAGTTTATCGCTTTTGCCTTAGAACGGTTTACATTTCCGTATTTATCACACACGCTAATGTTTACATTTTTATTAAATGTGTTATTTTAGAAACATTTGAGGTATTTAGACATAATTATTAATAATCCTGTAATTTAGTATTGTTGTAGTAAATGTAAATATTAATATGCATTTGAAAATAGTATGAGTAAAGCCAATGGACATTTGTTTTTTTTTTTAGTCTTCCAATAAAATTTGAGTAGCAGATTTTGGCAAGAGAAT